GGCAGGGCAGGTAGCCAGGGGACAGAGGGGCGGTGGGGAGCACCTGCCGGCCTTGGGTATAAACCCAGATGTCTCACTCACTTTAAGAATTTTGACAGGGAGTACGTCTCCGTATTCGGAAATGGGACCTCGGGATGGGACTGCGTTAATCCGATATCTGATGATCCCTGTCCTTCCCAACCACGCAGGGAATTTCAGAAATGATGCAAGCTCACCCACAGAATTCCGCTTCCCTGAATGTGTGTTGTGTTAAATGCAAAATCCCTCAATCTCACAGAATTTCATGGTTCTTCTGTGGGTATAAATTTATACTAAACAACAATAAAAAAATAAAATCTTCATTTCCTGACAGCAAATCTTTTAATGTTCTGCTTCCTTACATCAGAATCCTGGCTGAAATGTGGAAGTTTCCTACAACTCCCAGAGAACATTTCAGGGTGGTTTATAGCGCCTTACCTTTGGCAGTAACACAGACACGTGGGAAAGTGAACATCGTGCTACATACAGGGGTCATTGCACATAGCCAGACAGAAGAGAGGGACTGCTTTAACAGGGGAGAGGTGAAGGAGAAGAAGAGAAGAGAGAAAGAAGTGAGAAAGAGGAGAGGGAAAGGAAGAGAAGGGAAGAGAGAAATAAGTGAGAGGAGAGGGAGAGGTAGAGAAGGGAAAAGAGGAAGAGAAGAGACAAGAGGAGAGGTAGGGATGGGAAGAATGAAAGAGGAGAGGGAGCAGAAGAGATAGGATGAGGACGGGGAGAGAGGGGAAGAGAGAAAAAAGTGAGAAAGAGGAGAGGGAAAGGAAGAGAAGGGAAGAGAGAAAGGGGAGAGGAAGAAAAGGGATGAGAGGAGAGGAAGATAAGGGAAAAGAAAGAGTAGAGGAAGAGAAGCAAAGAGAAAGAGGAGAGGGATAGAAGACAGTAGGTGAGACACAATGGACATATAATACAAAAGCAGAGAACTTCTTCATCAGACTCAGCGAGTTCATATGGGACAAGTGCCTGAACCACGCAGCCATCCAGCTGGTCAGGGCAGAGACATATCACTAAAGTATGTGCACCTCACAACCTTCACGTCCCGCTGCGGTGAACAGCAGAGAAAGTAGAAAACCCATCATATTAACTGAATCAGGTAATCTCCCAGAACAGCAACAGCTGTATCACATACCTGTCTGCAGCAGCACCCATAATCAGTCAACCAGATGAAGGGAAAAAAGCAAGGATTACTGATAAAGCAGAGCCAGAATGCGCAGCAATGATCTGCGTCACTACATAACACAGAGTATTTCCACACAGCAAAGCGTTCTGAAATAAAATATAAATGCCTGTCCGAAATTAACCGCTGTTTTCTCAGTCCAACACTCACACTCAGAGGTTAAAAGTATTTTACAACTTTTCTGGCCTGTTTGCAATCTGCTGCAACACAGGCCTTCTCATCTTGAAAAGCCTGCAAACTGTTTGGGATGCGTTTAATCAACACAGTGGCCATTTTCACTTCAATGCCGAATAATGCTGATTTACTACCTATACTCTCTGTGTGAAGCACAGGAAAATGTTTGCAATAAATAAGGATAAAATAAGGACTTCCAGTTTAGTCCAATTTATTGAACCCCACCCTGAATTTTGGAAACAGTCCCATTTTATGTAAAATGTAATGAAAAACACCATTTTAGCAAGGACTGCTGAGCGTAAGCACAAACACGGAATCCCACAACAGATACACATTGTATTTTGGAGAAACAAGTCTGTGGTTTTAAATGGTTATTTAAAAAAAAAAAAAAAAAAGTAAAATAAATTGAAACCATAACACAAGCAACCCCTGACCCTTGAGGGCATAAATCCTATTTATTGTAGAACTAATTGCAATTTAAAATAAACGGCATTACTTTGCATTATTTTCTCCAGATCATTAAGCATTCCGATTGCCTCTGAACTTTAAAACAATCTATCTCGCAGCAAACACAAAGCCCATCTTAAATTATTTAATCAGCCATTTAACAAGTCAGATCTTACAGGTGGAAAAGACTGCTGTCATGTGTCACTGAGATCCAGGAAAGCTATACGTGTCTGTCTGCCTCCTTGCCAATAAGCCCCTGAAAGAAGCTTTTCTAAAGCTCACTGTAAAGTTTTTGTATATGATGCTGAATGATAGTACTAGTCTACCTCACAAGGCTTAAACAACTGAGACACTTTCAAAGTATGTTAATTTCTTTATTTCCATACCTCTTGCTGAAGGGGAAAAAAAACAAGCAAGCAACACTTAAACTTTCAGTTTTGGCTTTTATACCTTAAATTTTCCCATTTTCCCTCACTGATATGTGTCACAGCAGAATCATTACACACAGAATGCAACTGATGATCATGCAGCTCCGGTTTTTCGTCTTTTTACGACATTAAGCAGATCAGAATGAACGTCTGTTTTACACGATATTCTAAATCCATTTTAGCAGATAGTTAATTAACTGCAGCTCTATAAACCATGAAGCTGAAATCAGGTGAGTCAGCCGGGCAGAGCCACAGCTCCCTGCGTGTCTGTCCCCCATTCCTCCGTGACCCCGACCCTTGAGAAGTCTCCCTGCCAGCCGACATGGACCCACTCCCCAGCTTCCTGCGCGGTCTCCTGGTCGGCCGTCTGTGGGACTCCGGCGGGTCCGACGCGCACGGCTGTCAGGGAGACCGGGCGCAGTGACGGCTGCCGAGTAGGCCGCTGCTCGGCGGGCCACACGCCCCTGGGCGGGGGCCCTGCTTCTGGCTCAGACACCCGACTGTTTCCCGTTGCTGCCGTTTGCTTCCCCGCTAAATAAAAAAACACCGGACTGTGTTCACCAGTGGCTGGCAGCTGCTCGGCCGCTCGGTTAGCCGCTTAGCCGCAGCACCGCGCACCCTAACCCCGGCTCCATATCCCGTTTTTACACACACACATACGTGTCAAACTCGCGTTAAATATCCGCCCGCAGTGCCGCTCGGCATGGCTGGGACTTTAAAGCCGCCGAACCACGGGCTGTGTGCTTAATGCCACCACAAAAGCGCCCGAAAGCAGCGGAGCTCACCGGGAGTACCGGTTGACTGCCGGCTGCTCTGACTGAGAGTCTGCGCCGGCGGTGCTCGGCTGCCGCGGCGCACAGTCTCCGATACACCAAGGCCACGTCCCTAACCCTCTCCGGTCAGCGCGTATTTCACCCCGCCGATCAGTAATAATGAGAAGGCGGCAGCCCGTGGCGGAGGAAGGCCAGCCCGTCCCTGGCAGCAAACAGCAGCCACCCGGTGGACTGGGCTGCGGGCTCTGCAAATAGCAGCTTCATCAGACCGCAGCGCACATCCTCGGGGCTGCACTGACAGCCCAGTCCGTAAGCAGCACCACCGCTGTTTTCCCCATGTCTGATGAAGCGATAACTACACATCCAGCGACCCATCCCCCTCTCCTCCTCCGCCCCGGTCCACTTTCCCCGGCACGCATTAGCTCCCCGTCGCATTCCTGGCATTTTCCAGATCCCCCTGCCGCCGATGATAACAAAGCCGCACCTGGGCGTGCAGCGGCTGCATTTCAGCGCAGAGGCAGCGCTTTCTGCATCGCACCGGCGGGAATGGCCATTGTTACAGACGGCGCATTAATGCACGAAAGTCCGCTGCACATACGCTTACCTCGCCTTCGCTGACCTCTCGTAACTCCATCCCGCTCCTGCGCCCAAATCACCGAATCCTGCACCAGGATAATTTCTATCCATTAAAGAAAAACAAGGAATGGAGATGGAGCGATAGCGAGGGGGAAAGGGGGGGGAGGAGGAGGATATTTTCTGGATCCTAACGCGCTATCAGTGCCTGTATCCTTTTCCCCCCTCTGTTAAATGTCTGTTTATCTCTCCCCGTTTCACAAGCAAGTCTTCAAGAATGGGAAACAGCGAAGAGGGGGAGAGAAATGGAGGGGTGGCGGAGGAGGAGGGGGAGATGGATGATGCAGGGGGAGGAGGGGGTAGATGTGGGGTGGGGGGGTGTCACTAAAAATCCGGTTTCTTGCTTCCCTCTCCTGCTCCCTCCCTCTCCTGCTCCCGTATTTATTTAATTCCGTATCTATTGTCCTTCTGAGCGCAGACAGCGGCTGAGGAGCAGCGGCGCGTCTACGGCCGGACAGCCCATCCACACGCACGCAACACATGTCGGCGCGTATCTTCTCTCCCCCCCACCCCATAAACACACACACACACAGCCACTGCGGGAGCGCACAGGGCTGCTTATTTTCTCTTACTCTTTGTGCTTATTATTCATATTTTTTTTCTTGGATTTCCAAGAGAGTCATTTTCAACCCGCAGCACTCCTAAATACGCATCCTAATATTTGGTGTCTTCGTGCTTTTCTCTTTTACACTAACAATTTTTTAAGGAGATTTGCGGCAAGTCTCCGGGTTTTGAAGTGAAATTCAGGCGCCTTGGCGCTAGGCCCCATTTTAGGAGGTATTTTCAGCTATTTGGTCGCCATTTTTGCACGCCGCTGCTTCTCTCCCTCCCTCCCCATCTGCCCCCCTCCCCCGAAAGCCATTCCCAGCATACAGTTCAGGTCCATTTTCGACAAAAAGAGAAGAGAGCGAAAGACTGGGGGAGGGGAGCACAGAAAAATACAGAAAACGAGAAAAGCGGCGGGCTTCACTGACACGGGGGGTACATGCATGCGTTCAGTAACAGGGGTATGGATCATTTTAGGCGTGCATGCTTCATACAGCACGCGTAATGCAATGCACATAATATTCAACTAATATGACAGTCATAATGGAGTGCCTCGGCGTCAGGATCTTTTGTGAGTGTACTGAAAAGAAACCCCATGTTTCAAATGCCGTCTAGAAGCACCGGGAATTACTATGTTTATGCTTATACATTTCTGTACGCATTAGGACATTCCTTAGCTGATTTTTACCCATAAAACATTGTACTTGTAAAGTGCAGTGCGTTCCTAACATTTGGAGAAAGGCTTTGCAGTTTGCGAAAACATCTCCTGCAGGAACATGGCAGCACATCAGTAAGCATCCCTCATATCTTCTGCTTTCATGAATTTCATTCTCCCTCGTCACGTGACTGGTATCCTTGACGATTTCACGTTGCCTTTAGGGTTGTATAACTGAAACGATAATTCATTTAATTACTAGTATTCGCAGAATTTAATACTATAAAGATGCATTTATATTTGTATTTTTAAAACTTGTGTCCATGATACATGTTTAACAATTGATAGAAACTTAATATATTGTAAAGTAAGAACTGAGTAACAACAAGAAAACCATCCATTAACATTTTATCTCTGGATGTGTTTCCCATTTCTCCTTACCAACTGTCTCGCCCCTTCTACAGCTCTGCAGACATTTCTAGTCACTGACTGGAGCAGACTGGCCCACACAGACAGTTACATGGAGGAGAGTGCATGGCATCATGACTGTGAGACTCATTGCCCCCCCCTCCCTAGTTCAGCTTTCATTTGGGGATCTTTCAGAAGAGCACGCAGATAAACTCCCCAGTTTCAAGCACTGCCTCAACATGCTTGCTGATAATGTCAAACAACTAACAGTAAAACACTGTGAATTTAGTGTATTGATTTTCCAGGGCGTAAATTAACCTGTGTGAGCGGTTGATACATTTTGTGGCAGGAACGATTCTATTCTGTCTTATTTGTATTTATCATACGTATTTATTTCCGTGGCTGTTGATGAATAACTGAAAGAGGCATCTATGTACAATTTCAATTAGAACAGTAAGCTAGAAAACTCGGTTGACTATTTTGCATAATACGCAAACACACGTAGACAGATATGAAATCAGTTTATCGGAATCGTACTTCCGAAAGCTTTACTATGTATCTGCCGCCTGATTTCTATCGGACTTGTAATATAGATTACTTTTATCAATGGGAGTAAAGACCCTTTTCCCCTACTTGCCCCCTCCTCCTGTGCTCAGTATAACTTCACCGCCCCCGGCCTCTTTCCCAAGGCTCCCGGATCTTCCTCATAGCAACACGGTGCGCTCATCTGCACCTTCTGTAAACTATCAGCCGCAGACCGAAGTTCTGAGCGGTGGCATCCGCGTCGGGGCACCGTCAAAATTACACGGCCGTAAAGATTCATCCAGTTTCACGACGGCATGCGCTCTGCACCAACAATAAAAATGTTAAACTCAATTTTATGGCTAATGTGTAAAGGGCCCATTTTCTAACCACTATTACAAATCACGCTAAAATTAAATAAATATATGAACTAACATGAACAAAAGAAGAAATGGACGAATATCCAGATAAACAGAAAAATGAATAATATAATGTTTGCACTTGTCTCCCTCTGGCGGCGATGTGACGCGTTCGCACTTCGTGAAGAGCCGCCGCTTGGGTTGTTTGAAAATGACCGCGAATGGCTGGTGTACTCTGCGGGCTTCTTTTGTGTTACCACATACAGTAAAAAGCACAGTATACATTTTTGCGAATTTATGGGGTTCAGTGAAGTGAATGCCATATTATTGTAGACTTGTTTGCTTTTTTGTCTTCACTCACGTAAAATTATATGGCCTAAGTTAAATGTGACAGAGACAATACAGGTATTACAAAATATCACAAGTGGGAAATAAATACAAATTCGTAACCATAAAGAGAAAACCCAACATTTTCTGTAATTAATCATTAATAGACATTCTGTTTAAAATATAGCATTAATGGGCCATATTAACAGATCTCTGTTTGGGACGTTTCACATAGAATGGTGTTTCATACGAATCTGATTTGAAATTTGCTTTGCTAATTCAGGACGCATCATTTTATGTGTATATGTTTGCTTGTTTCAAGGGTGAATTTAATTTAGCAGTTATTTTCTTGGGGTTTCTCAAACTGTTGTCCACTTGAGATCTGGTATCTGTTCATACCATTTATTGCACTCGCCCCTGTTAGTTTAGGTTTATGAGTTGAATGTGGATGTTGAAACACCGAACTTTCACATTTACATCCATAATACCCCACGTGCAGCTTATCAGCCCATTCAGCTGGCCTCAGCAGAGTCCAACAGCAGCATGGCAACCTGCACCAGCCAGTCATCGTCTGACATGCTGGGCTGCTGCGTACTGATTGGACAGCCATGCCTGATGTCAAACAATGCAGGGCTTAGGTGATAAGCTGAAGGAAGCCAGAGGGGGAGGGACTTTGCCACTGAGAAAAGGTAAGAGCAAGAAGCAGAATTGTGGGAATGAAGAGGGGGGTGGAAGAGGAACGTGCAGCATGTGCCGACAGGGGGAAGGGTTGGGGGAAGATGAGATGGCTGTAGGTGGGGAGATAAATGGGCAAGGTACTTCGGGGGTGGGGGTGGGGGCGGGTGCGGGTGGAAACGGAACAGAGAACAAGAGGAAAAACATGGGGAAATATGTCCAAGCAATCTTGCCTTATCTGTTTAGTACTTTGTTCTCTCTCTCTCTCCACTAGACATGCAGTGAACGTCACCTCAGCCTGTGGCTTCTGTGGTCCAGCAAGGCGACAACTGGAAGAAATGCTGAACTTGCTTGTGCCCCCCCCTCCAACTTGGTTACAAAGGTTTGGTTTCTGTTAAACCCTCCTGGGCGCAACACTCTTATCAGTTTGTGTAAACACGACTCAGGCTATTGTAGGAAGTTCTCCAGAAACAAGGAGATGCTGTTAGGCTGCAGCCCACTGGAAATCTGATTGCCACTCCATAGGCTCAGAGATCTCTGCAGCAATAACAAACTGAACGTGACCCAGTGCATAGCCATGGGGACCCCCCCCCCCCCAAGTGGCTGGGAAGGACCCCCAGTGTGAGAACGAATAGAAGGCAGCATCGGCAAAGTAAACATCTGACGATGACAGTGTCATATGTGCCACGTAACCCAAACCACACAAGTCACCTGGTGTGGGAAGCAGCTGTCAGATGATATGATACAGGACAGACACATCAGGGCCACCGTCACAGGAGAGGCCAGAGAGTGGATGTGGCCAAACCAGACGAATCACCACACACATCTTATCGCAGTACTGACCATTTTAATCAGACATTGTTTTTGGTACAAAATTGTAATATGTAATATAATATCAGCTTGTGGCCATGTAGGGCCCACTGTGACGCACAGCGATGCATTTTCATAGACAGTTACACACTCGCACACCCTTATGGAGCACGAGCCCCTGCTTGGCACACTGGTTAGTCTGGGAATGCCAGGGCTCTGGCAGCATGTGACCCAGACCCTGCATGTCAGCACATGTAGAGCACACGCATGCAGCTTTAGTGTGACACACTTCTGCTTGATGATACACGTTAAGCTGTGTGAAGAACACACTGTCCCGTGTCCAGGTGGCCCTGAGCACCTCCCACCTGTGTAGTGCTGCCCAGTTTCATAGTGTTACTGGGATTCATCACCCCCCCCCCCCCCAACCTGGCCCAGTGCTCAGGCAGGCCCCAGGCACCAGCTCCACCCTCAGTCCCCTCCACCCGTTAAAATTTGTACAAATTGAGATATAAACACAGAACATCGTAATAAAATATGCAAGATAAAAAAAAACACAGCAATAAATTGGAATGTTTCACAATCCGTAGACCCCCCCTCCCCCCCACCGGACCTCTTCCGCTGGAACACACCCTCTGTCTCCTCCATCTCTCCCAAAATCTGTCCATTCCTCAGATCTTCTCCCATTCACGGCCACACGAGACACTGAGCTCAGTTTTGAAAGGGGGGGGGGGTGTCCTCACCAAGGCGGAGTGGCTGTGGTGATTAGCAGAAGGTGCGGAAGAGTTAAAGCAGGGTACAGGGGCAGCTTGCAGGTCGCCGTTTGTCGGGGTTGTGAGAGGGAAGGGGTGGATTTTCAGTCTCCTGGAACTTTCTGTTGGGGGGTGAGATAGGGAGAGAGAGAGAGAGAGAAAGAGGTGAGCATGATGTCCACCCTGATGCAATGGGCCAGCAAGACAAGATCTCAGTGACAGAGAGAACAGGAAGCTGGACCCTTACGTCACTCCAAGGAGCCCCGTAATGAACATGGACACACAAAATGGCCGAGTGCTACAGTGAGCACATAGCCTTCATGTCAAAGTTATTCCCTGGAATAATACCACTGCTGGCGTAAACTCCCTTGGTCTTTATGTTGGCAGTGGAACTTCTGTCAGTTAAAGTAGCACCACCATCCACAGTGAGGACAGGCCACACCCCTGCCAAACAAGCCCCCATAAAGAACAAGCAAACTGCATCGTAGCATCACCTTATCGCTCGAATGACCTCGAAGAAGGCTTCATCCACATTGAGGCGGCTCTTGGCTGACGACTCCATGTAATGGATCCTGTTCTCTCTGGCAAAGGCCTGGGCTTCTTCTTTAGGAATCTGCGCACAGGAGATCACAAAGCGACTGCAGTGACTGTGCAGCATGCATGCAGGAAGTGGGCCTTGCACACAGAGGAAGTGGGCCTCTCACACACATGCACACACATACAATCCAATTTCCTGTCACCCCAGTTTGGCCAGTGGCATCATGATGTCACGCTCATGACAATACGCCTCGGTGGCTCCGTTCAACTTCTATTCAATGCATCGTGTTACTAGACAGCTCAGAAACCCGCACACCGAGATCCACCCAGCCTGCGATCGGCCGAAATCATGCGGCCTAAGTGGTGCCAATCTGCGGCACCCCCACCATACCGTTCTCTGGGAATCGAGATCTGCTTTGTTCCCGACCAGGACCATGGGGAAGTCATCGCGGTCTTTCACCCTCAAGATCTGCGTGTGGAACTTGTGGATCTCATTATAACTGGGGATGAGAACAGAGGACATGAGCCGCTGCTTTTTGAGGAGGGAAGGCCGACACACTGTGAGCATGCGGGGGCCCTAGCAGCTGGAACAGGTGGGGGCGAGTTTCAGGTGGAAGTATGAACCCCCCCCCCCATCTGAAACAATGCTAATGAAACTGATAAGACGGAACTGGCATGGGGACCTCGATGTCAACATTTACAGTAACTTTAAATTTCCACCTTTGCTTATGTATCAGCCCCCACCTCACTCTCCTGCATCCCGACTCACCTCCCTCTGTCGTTGAGGGCGAACACAAGCAGAAAGCCCTCCCCAGAGCGCATGTACTGTTCTCGCATGGCGCCGAATTCCTCCTGCCCTGCTGTGTCCAGGACTGCCGCGGGAACAAACACACACACACACACACGTTAGGACTCGTGCACTCAGGTCCGCACACGCACCAGCTGACTCAGCCAGCGCCCGACTGAAGCGGCTAAACAGTTTGCAGGCCAATCCCAGGCCTACAGCCGTGGTGGGGGGCACCTACTGTCTAGCCTGGTCTGCTTCCCATCCACGTTACAGATCTTCGTGTAGGAATCTTCGATGGTGGGGTCGTAATCTGACACAAAGTAGGACTGATAGAAAAGATGTAAAATCAGGCCAAAATATACCATACCAGCAACAGGCATCATAATTGTCTTTAACCTGCACAAATCAGCTAAGTATTTTACAACCATCAGAAATATTAAACATTCAATAACAATTAGTTAGGCACATTTTGACTGAATAGTGACTATGAGCAGTACAGGAATACGCATTAACACCGTCAGGCAGCTTCAGGGTGTGCTTCTAATAAATGTAATGTTAAGCTCCGGATCTCACCTGTATGAACTGGATCGTTAAAGCACTTTTGCCCACTCCGCCTCCACCCACCACAACAAGTTTGAACCTTTCTTCTTCTGTCGACATGACTACCTGATTGGTAGTTTTATGACCTTGATTTACACCCGGATATCCTCTGTCCTTTTGCAAATTAAACAGGTCGAAAACGTCGGTTAATAAACAGACTTGCAGCACGAAAAAAAAAAAATCACAAAAGATACAAAAATCTTTTCTGCATATGACGAAGAGATGGAGCAGGCCACAATGCTGTTCCCTAATCAGTTTTCAGTCTATTATCAGTTTCCCGTATTTCAGATTTCGGTGAAAGGTCCAAACACCCTAACTTGTTATATTTTTGTATCTATATATGTATTAATAATAGGCCTACATTCAAAACAGGAAAAACAAAACACGCTCCTTGCAAGCATATAAAAGAGCATTACATGGTTTTAAAATCACAGGGCCCGCATAGTTCCTTTGTCAGCAGTTGGTGTTTCAGGATTCGCGGAGCGCGTTTCGCATTGGCGTCTCTTAAGGTCCAAGAGCGGAGTCTGAATCCCCAAAGTCGGCGTCGGGAGCCGCGCTGTTCCGCAAAGCGTCCCGTCCCTCCCTTCCGCACCCGCCTTCGGCAGCTTCACTACTCGAAAGTAACTCGAAAGTAACCCCAACTACTAATAATCAAAACCAGCTGCTTTCCTGCGGAGCGTCGCTGCCCGAGCGATGATAAACGCGCACAGATCGCCTTTATAACCAGCTAGACCCGATTCCTGCTAACGACGTTTTCTTCATGTTACTTTCGTCTCCTACTCAGTTCTTTTTTTTTATAGCCAGAGGCGACGTTTTTCCTCATCCAAGAGTTTCTCGAAGCCTCATGAGTATGTATGACCTGGGAGTGTCCTTCAAAGCGCAGAACATTTACTACTTTAAGCAATAAATTGTTTAATTTCACTATTGCATACCTGACGATCCCAGAAGTGTATTTTCGGACAAATGACGACTGCCGCGGTGTACTGAAGAGCTCAGCGAGTCAAATATTTCTGCTTAATCTCATTAATATGTATAGAAATAGATGGGCGCTACCTAAATACATGCTGAATATGTATGCGCTCACACCAGCTGTACTTTGCCTTATTTGGGTTGGGATCTTCGGGGGTTGTCCCATTTCAGCCAGAAATCTTCTTATCCGATGTCGAGAATCCGCCTGCAACAGGCAAATAGTGCACAATTTCCCCCCGTTTCTCTTCAATCTAAATTAATCCCGGAGCGCGTCTTGCAAAATCCCTGTTTTTGAATATAAAATCTGCAACGGCTCGGTTCGAAAGCGGGAAGAGCAGTGGCTTTCTGGGCTCTGCATCTAATGAAGAATAAACTATTATTCTTATGCTGACCATGAGCAGGCATAACAGACATAACAATGACTGGTGATGATAGGTCTTACAATGTAAAGAAACTTCCAAATGTATTTCTTAAGGTGCCGGAGAAGCTCGCCTGCCCGCAGCGGATGTGACTCATGATTATAGTATTAGGCGTTTTTATTTCGCTTTTGCTTAGAGACTCGACGCGCCCAGGCGCTCCGGTACATGCAGCCCCGGCGGGATGCCAGCGTTCTTCCTCGCCGCCCCTAGCATGAGGGGGAGGGTAACTTCCACGGGCAAAGTTAGGCAACTATCTGCAGTCGCGCCCAGAAGCTGTATTTCGGGAAGAAATGATATTGCATATCACCTGACAAGGTTGCCTTTAATTGCTTGTTAAAAATTGCTTTTTTTGTCGTGAAGATATTTTAAAGTAAAATAAGAAATACGCTTTTATATTAGGTTAAATTTTATTGATTCTAAGTGGAATTCTTGTTCATGCATTGTGTTACAAATTTTATTGTACACCTCTGTCAAGTGTGAAATAAATCGGTTTACCATACCAGTGAAGACCGCGCATTTGTTACATACAGACAAGTCGTGAACATGTGCATTTCAAAGCTTGTTGTTTGTGAAGCGCGCTGCATCGGACTTCCTCTGACCGACGTCTTTGCCGGAAGTTACACAGGTGGACTCCTGTGGCAAGCCGTTTTAGCATTTAACCATATCTGTGATTGTATTTTAGATATCCAGAATTCTATTTCTCCTAGCAATAATTGTACTTTTACTAGCCATAATAAAAATTAAAGATATCCAAAACCCTATTCTTACTAGTAAAACTGTATTTGAAGATATCTATGTCTTAGATTTTCCTAGTCAAATTTCAATTTAAGATTAAAATCTTTAACAAATTTTCATCTGTATTGCGGTTTTCATTTGCAACAACTGAATTGCAGACATTTAAAAAGAGACTTTTTACTAGTAAGAATGTAATTTCAGATATCCAGAATTCGTATTTTAGATATCTAAAATGGAACTGTTACCTTCTCAAATAGAAACTGCAATAGAGATGAATGGTAAAAGTGACGTAATTCTCACTAGTAAGAACTGAATTACGGATGTCTCAAGTGGTCATTTGTACTCCTAAGAATTGAACTAGATATATCTAAAATGCCGGTTTCGCTAGTAAGAATTACAATGCTGATATCTAAAATTGCTATCCTGCCTACTTATTCAATGTTCAAACGGCTTGCCATAGAACGCTCTACACTGTGCCCAGTTTCACTGCAATGCTACATCTTAGCCGGCAGCATAGATGATTTTGGGTGACCATTCACTGAGATTCGTAGTAAAAAGTACCAAACAACTGCCTAAAATATTTTCTTTAATTTTTACTTCCAAGCAATAGTGACAAAAATACCAGTCTCGAAATATTCGTAGTATAAATAACATCAATAAATAAATAATCACAAGTCAGTCGATAAATAGTAATCCACGTCATCACTCTGCATTTTAAATATACATAGTAGGGAAAGTACGCCTTCAGAATTAGTATGTGTGCCGTAGTGAGTAACGTATACACATTGCCGCAGTGTGTGGAACATTGACAGATAAAGAAAATCACTGACACATAAGAATAGAGGAATATACAGATGTGGGAGTGCATGCAGTCCAAGCTATAGACCGGAATAATTTAAACAGTTAAACACGCACGCGCGGTACACTCATCCCATGCAAAGGGGAGTCTTTCACAATTTTCTCCTTGCTTGTATGGCCTCCATGACTCTTTGGAACGCTTAACATCGGTAAGGGAGCGCGGGCTGTCCCACCTTCACCCTGGGACCGAGCAAAGTGCCCAGTAGCATTCTTTCGCCCCAGCCCAACAGCTTGCTCACAGTCAGGCCGATTGGCGACAAGGGAATCTGGTCCACGTCTAAACCCTCAACAGCCTCCACGGCGGCAGCACAGTGGCCGTCTGGCGACATCTGCTGTCGATCGGTGGAAATGCGCTGGTTTTGTATTGTAGCCGTAGGTTTGAACTCCCCGGTGTTCAGTCCCGAATTTGCTAGGATAGACTTTACTTCATCAATCCGCTCACCGTGTGTAGCAGCACAGCTTCCTCTTCCCACGTCTACCGTCTTCCGAACTCTAGTTGAGGTCTTATTTTCTTTACTCTGATGGGTTTGCTTTACATGAAGGATGTTCTGTGCTTCTTCGCACAAACCACTCACGACTGCCTTTCTGCTTTGCTTAGTTGTGTTGGTGAACTGACCCCAATCTGCGTTCTGCACAGTCTTGGAAATGTTTCCCTGATGCCTCTGACTGCTATTCTCAGTTTCCATCTCCAGTTTGGTGCTTTGAGGAGTCTGTTGATTCATGCTCAAAGAGGACAGGGAAAGTGTCAGGCTCTTACGCTTCTCTGAAAGGGATGAATATTCCGACGAGACCTGTAGTTGTGCGGGCCTTGGCAGACGTCTTGGCTGATAATTCGCATTTCTGTGTTGATTACAGATTTCGTAAGGGTCTTCCACTTCATGTGGTGTTAGAGTGAGTGTTCTGAGTTTATCGGTGACGGACACACTGAGCTCCTGTGACCTTTGTTGATTCTGCTTTGGATCTGAAGTCATGCCTGGAAGCAGCCTGCTGTCACCGTTGGCTGGATGGTCTGAACACATTCTGTCCTGTTTCAAACTGCCTATTGTGTACTGAGAACCTTCACAGCGTGCATATGATTTAATTTCAGAGAAAAAGTCACCCTCAATCAAGTTCTTAATATATGCATCCTGATTGACTGGGAGTGGCACAGTGAGACTGTGACCAGTGTTTCCATTGGTGGATAGTGCACTTTCACCAGGAGGCACAATGAGCTTAGCATTTTGGTTGGCTCCACAGTTCTTGTGGAGCAGAGTACCTTGGAAGGACTGTAGCTGACCCAGGAAGTTGAAATTTGGGGAGATGGAGGGCCTGCGCTCCTTTACAAACCTGGAAGAGACAGAAGGAGAATCAGGAATGAGCACCATGGACTCTGAGGCTCCTAGCAGCAGGGAGATGGGGGGGGGAAGCTACCGTCAGCCCACTGACCTGTACGCATCATCCAGCCCCAGGCCCAGTCGATACATGACGTAGGCAACAGCCAGGGCAGGGGAGCGGGACACACCAGCGGCACAGTGAACCAGCACTGAGCATCCACAGGACATTGCGCCATCTGCAGGAGAGGCAGAAATGCACAGTGCCTCAGAAAAGCGCCCCCTACAGCTCAAGGATCTCACTGGGTTAACATTAGTGCCAACATAAAGTACAGTTATTCCTGTCAGTTTTCAGTGTCAAGTAAAAATCAGTCAGTCAACAATCAAATAAACTGTAAACAAGTTTCCTGCAAAAGTGCATACAAATGTTCTACCAAAAAAATCTAATAGGCCTAGCAGCAAAACGATAAAAGTAAATTTGTCTGTTTTTTTTTGTTTTTTTTCTTGAGTAAAAGTATTATTTTAGTGACGACAACATTTCTTTTGAAATGGACAGTTAATACTAACCAATGAACTGCAGAGCCTCTGGGATCCAGGGCAGAAGCTCGTCTCTGAGCGAGTCGTCAATCGGGATGCGGAGATACTGTTTCTGGGGCAAGAAGGCGGGCTGGGGGCAGCAGCGACTCACGCTCAGCACGTAGCTGATACCCTGAGACGTCAGGCAGTCCTGAACCACCGGAGGGAAACGGCAATGTGCATATTTGTTAATTAAAGTCATTTTGGACACGAATTTTAATTAGACTTTTAATTTAAAATTAGGTACTCACCTGTGTAACGTCAGCTTCAGCGCCCAGGTAGAGATATGGTAAGATTAGAGATAGAGGAGGGCTTTCGCTCTCTCGTTCCCTGCAGTAAACCATATTCTTCTTTATTCTGAGACTCGTTTTCCTGGGACGAAAATAAAACATGAGCAGATGTTATGACAATATACCATATTCATTTAAAAAAATCGGCCGTACAAGTTTAGTTTAAGAGCACTCGGCACACAAGGAGCAATTTACCGTGACAACCAAAACGTCAAATACTTTAAATATATAGGCAAATAGTTATCGCTTACGCCGGTAACACTGCTAATAAATGCACAATTTAAGAAAACTAGACAAAAATTAAGAAAATTTTCAAAACTTACCGCAAAGATTTTCACTCCACGCCACAATTATTTACATTTAAATTAAAACACCTAGCCTAATAGTTCAGCTTCAATTTTTCATGATTCTGTAAAAAAGCGTAGCTTTTAAAGAATGAGGAAAATAAAATAAGAATAATGAGATTCCTGGAAGAAAAATAAAATATTTAACAGTACAATAAAGAGTGTTTAAAATGGATGTTTGCGCGAAGTCCTCTCCTCCGTCGTCTTTCTCTTTCTCCGTCCGTCTGCGCTTGCGATATTGTTTGTTATTGTATGTCTATACCTGCGTGAGGAAAAAGATGAGGTAATGCCAGTCCGCGGAGCTAAAAATAGTACTATTCTATATGATGTCATTTTTAACCAATCAGTGAAGGAGGCTGCGCTAAGCTAAGTGGCGGCCGCGCAAGCGCTATTGGCTGCACAGTATCCGGTCTGTTTTGGACTCCCCCCCCCATCTATTTAAATAAATTATGTAATTTGATTAACACTCTGAAGTGACTGCGGCACTCTTAAATTTATGCACGTATCATGCTCTTCATACGTCATGTGTTTACTTTGATTTTTACAATGTACGACATCCCTCTGACGTTCATCGTGCATGTATATATATTAGAAATTAAATGCCCATATACACGCCGCAACACTCTGCCATTACATACTTATATTTGAGTGTACGTTTTTCAATATATGAGAACCCTTTCCCTTCTCACTGCCATTTATTATGGTAGCCTATTCCGTTAATTCTGCATTTTAATTAGCAAGTACCTTATCATTATAAGAATGAAAGGGATCGACGCTGTGTATGGAATAACAATCCTTATATTTTCTCTATATCCATTTATTTTCTCCCCCAGGTTTATCACGGAATGACGCAAACTTTTGACACTTTGCGCATTATTATGTTTTTCCTCAAATTCTGCCGGTTGCGTCTCTTGGTGTCACAATATTGAGGTCCACATTCCTGTTATAATACTGGGAAACCGATGACGTCACTTTCCCCTCTAAGCATAAAAAGCTATAATGTAATAACTTGACCATTATATCTAAAACCAATTAGAGAAATAGCTGCTGGTCAAATGTTAGACAAAATCCAGTTCAAACACAACGGTTACGAGCTAGTCGACGCCTCAGATTCAAGGCTAAAATAGTAATTTTCAATGCACCTTGGGCAAACATATCTTAACATACCAATATGAAATCTGAGCATCACATGTTGTTTTACTGCTTACTCTCCAGACACACATGTGCAGAAAATTTCCTTCATCACACTAAAAAAGCAGTTCAAGAAAATGTTACATGCATTCAACCTTCTTGTGGCAGACGTGGACACTGAGGAGCACAGCAGACACGTAGACACAGGAAGCTGTATTCATACATTTACTTTCACATTGTTCAGTACACAGTCATTTTCTATAATGGGTATCTGACCGATTTTACAGACAGTGGGCTGCAGCAGCGCTTAGAAACACTGAAGATGCAGGCGAGCGCACGCATACACACTAACGCTCACACACGCACACGCACACACGTTATGGACTTTTATCTAACATGAGAATGTTCCACACCTTCCATGAGATGTGAGACTTACAGTCAAATATACATCATGACAATGACTTCATATTAGCCCCAGTACATCAGACAGGTTTAATATAACAATGACACATGAACCACACACAGCGTGTTGACAGCATTGCTCAGCTCCGCATGAACCCAGTGACTGTCAATGACGGGTCCAGTCTATCAGGTTTAAAACGCCAGTGATGCAGCAGCTGGGTGTTTCCTCCAAGCCCACCTCTTCACGTCATACAGCGGTCGGTCCCCTGCTCACCTGCTGGCATTGAAAAACCGAGCTCAACCCTGTCAAGGGAGTTTGGGGGCTTCCCCTGTAAACTGCCATTAAAGGGAACTGGAATGTTCATTTTAAGCGTCATCATAGGAACACATAGATACGCAGTGAACAGGGAGAGTATGCATCTCTAAACACTAACTGCAGGTCTGGATGTTTAACGAATGCGGCTGGCAGTAGTGCTGGTAAGAGGCTGGGGTATAGAAAGCCACCAGTCATTTCACATCAATGAGAAACACACACACACACACACACACACACACACACACACACACAGAAAAAGCCTGAAGCTAAAAGATCAGGGAAAACATGATCGAGAATGTGGCTTAGCTTAGACCAGTTAAAGGGGGATGTCTGGTAACACGGGCAGGAGACAAAGACCATTAATGTCTTCCTGTCATTGCAGCCCAGTTGGCAGCACAAGCACAGAGTCATGGAAAGTAAACAAAAAGCAAGAAAAATAAAACAAAACTCCAGATTCAGAAACAGTGATGGGCTGTCACGCACCCACAGAGCATAACAGCAATAAAAACGACGACAGCCACGATAAGAGCCAGCAGGTAAGAGCGGGTGGAGACAGAGCGAGGCCTGTCCCACTCGGCCCTCGGCTTCCCTCATGTGTGCAGGGCCCAGTTTGACAGCGTGCTGCAGCCCCAGAGACGCGGCTCTAGAACTGCTCAGCCAGCAGATGGCAGAGGTGCACTGACACCGTGTCCTTGCTGCTGCGCAGAGTCAACCGGAACATCTGCAGGGAGGAGGAGGAGGTGAATGTGGTGCGGTGGGCAGGAGGCTGAGGTCTACGCGCAGGGAGTGAATTAAAATGCAGAGCACAAGACGGGACAGTGACGCTACGGGTTATAGGCTACAGGCAGGCCGGGTGGACAGGTACCTGGGCTTGGGCATTGGGTTCCAACCGCAGGAGACAGCCAATCTGCTGGCCTTTCGTCTGGATCACCCCAGCACACACAAAGTTCTCTGGGTTTGGGTCCACGTCCTCCAGCAGGGCAGGTCCCAGGCCCAACAGCTGAAATGAACAGAGCAGTCAGGTGAGAGAGGTCAGTAAGGAGGATGGAGACTGGGTTTGGTAAAGGGGGGGGGGATGACAGCACATCTGAAAGAGCCTGAATGTCACCTTGAGATGAAAAGGAGGAGGAGACAGCCCCCCCCCCCCCCCCCAAAAAAAAAAAAAAGCTTACAGTCATACATCACGACACCCTGAGATTCACCTTCGTTTTGATGACATCAGTGTCCATGCTGTGGTTGGCCTTGAAGATCTTCTGTGCTTCCTGTTGAGGGCTGAAGAGAGAATAAGCGGAACCTCAGGGATTTAGACACACAGTTACGCACACGGACACACGCGCAGACAGTAGTGGGTATCTGACTATGTATTAACATACTGGGCCGTAATGCTTAGAAACGCTGAAAAGATGCAGACAAGCACACTGACACTCGCACATTAATGCTGAGACACACGCATGTGTGCAAGCAGCCACTCACAGACTCAGCTGTTTCCAGCGCTGAAAGAAGTCCTGTGAACTCATCTCAGTGGGCTGGAAGAACTTGTTTATGGTCACCGGAAGCTTTAGCGTGAGGTTCTGCTGGGCACCCCCATACCTGCTGGGAAAGGGGCATGGTCAGCCACAGTCACGTGACCTCTCCCCCCCCCACAGGCTGACTCGGGGGAGAGCATGGAGCACGCAGGCCGGTGAAGAGCCGCACCTGAACATGATGTTGAGCAGAGGTGCATCGCTGAAGTCGGACAGACACTCGATATTGAGAACCTGCTGCACCTGCGCACCTCCGTCCACTAGGGGCTCCACTGGCTTTGTCTGCATATTCAGCTGTGGGCCAGTTAGTTAAGGATGCACAACCACAGAATGCCCTACGAGTCCTCTGTCAGCATGTTACTCTTGATGCTAAACAGCCATTACAGTTATACCTTACGCACAACATCTAAGGGGATGGAGGGGGCTCTAACCACACATCTCTTGAAAGGGGGGGTGGGTGTTAACTCTAACCGGACAGGATATGAGTCTGTAGGTCGCCGGGGCAGGTGATGGAAGTGGTGAAGTTGGAAAACTGCACAGATGTCTTGTTCCCAAAGAAGAGGTACATCCTCCCTGAGGAGAGGAGCAGAGCGGGATGCTTCCGGGGCCAGAGTCCCTGAATGGAGGTGTCAATACGGGGAGAGGGGGGAATGTCCCCAACTCACCCAGGTTCTGCCGGTACTCTGACTTGGTGCCAATCTGGAGCAGCTGGTTCTCAAATAAAACCCCATTGTTCTTGCACACAAACCTAAGAGTCAGACGGTCAATAGGCGGTCACGAAGGCAGCGCTGGGAAGGAGGCTGAGATTCGTACTGCATACTGCCTGACAGGCATCAGGTGGCCTGTGCCTTGTGTCATGCAGAGGCGCCAACGCAGTGCTGCCATGCAGGAAATGCTGAGCAGGGCTCCAGCAGCAGGACAGTCTGGCATGCGTGTTCTACACTGCACATTTCCAATTAACCTCCTTAAAGTTCTACTTAACAAGAATCCAGGGGGACATGGAGGACACTTGCGCCTCCGGTCAATAAACTGCCAGTGTGCTCAGCTCAGTCAACATCTTTACATTTAAAAAGATCAGATAGATTTATCAGAAGCTGTATACATATACTATGTGAGATATTTAGAGGTGGAAGGCCTGTTAACAGCCAGGGTGAAGAGAGGAGAGCAGAGGAGAGGACAAGAGGGAAGGAGGAATGGAGAGAAGAGAAGCGGGGAAGAAAAAGGAAAGAGCCCTTACTTGTAAAGAAGATCATCTGATTCTGGAAGCGGCAGGGCAGGGTCCTCGAAGCTGGGGGGCGAGAGAGAGGGTAGCATTTAGAGTAGGTTGGGTGCGCAGCAAAACAAGCACAATGAAAGGAAATAATCAGAGAATGACAAGTATACTGAAAGAACAAAAACAATGTTTAGTCTATAAAATCAAGAAAAGAACAAGAGCTTATACAATGGCTGCACAAACAATATTTTTAAAAGAATGTAGGCCAATTCTTCTGCTTTTAATCGTGTGACAGTCTATGGCCCCTTACTCAGATTCACCAGGAGCTTCGACCAATAAGGAGTCAGAGCTCTCGGGAGGCAGGTCCAGATGTCTGACAATATCCAATCACAATCAAGGACAAGAGAGACAGACAAATCCAGCACAGAGACAAAAAGAAATAGGAAGGGGAGAGAAAAAGGGAAGAGACACATGAAGTCAGACAGCATATAAAAATGACAAAGAAAAGAGAGACAGAAAGACAGGAGATACTGAGAGGGGCCATTTGCTCACTGATGGTACCAAGATTTACTGGTACAAATACAGATAGACTATTGGTGGCAAAACTCAGAGAATAAATCCTGACAACATGACTATTGGTAATTGATTTAGGGGGCTTACCTGAGGAAGCCATCCTCACTGACAGCAGGAGCAGATGCAGGTCCAGCCTCAGGAAACACATCCACCAGCAGGCTGCCAGTTCCAGGGGCAACGGGAGCTGCCGAACGGAGCCCCAGCAGGTCCGCCGAGGGGGACAGGGTGGCCTGAGGGAACGCGAGAGTCAGCAGATGACCCGCCAGACACAGTCACAGATCAGATTAGTGCGGCCAGTCGAGAGGTTCTGTTCACTGATCAGGCCTGAACAGCACATGCACGCCTCATTTCAGGGCATCTTACGATATGAAAAAACACATCTTAATACATGCAGTCTCAGGCTCAAAGCATGCCGAGGAGGCAGGCAGCAGGACAGACGGTGGCCACACACCAGACAGGGGCTCTATCTGAAAACCCACTTTAGCAAACAGGCTGCCTCTGTCGCTTACGCTGTTGGAGGTGGCTGCGGCATCGGCTCCCCTGTCCCCGCTGCCATTCAGAGCACCTCCTTCCCCCTTGGCCTCCTCCAGGTCAGACACCGACACTGCTCCGGGACCCTTCTTCTTCTTCAGTTTGGCCAGGATGGATGACTCCCGCTCGGGGAATGGGGGCATCTCCTCTAGCACTGTGGCCTATAGGCGTGTGGGTGAGGCGGGTCAGGGTCGCTTCATGTCGCTCATCACGCGCGGCCGTTGACTAAAGCGCACAAGGCCTCACCAGGACATCGGTGCTGGCGATGGAGGAGAGCTTGAGGTACTCAACGGCGCGCTGCTGCAGCTCCACGTCCGAGTTGCGGATCTGGCTGTCAGAGCGCAGCACCTCCTGGATGGTGGGCTTGGTCTCCGGAAACAGGTTGATAAACTTGATGTAGGCAGAGAGCAGCAGGGCGCGGCTGGGCACCGAGCACAGGTGGAACTTGGAGTGCAGCAAGTTAAACTGGACCAGCGGACTGCAGATTGGAGGGGGGAGGGGGAGGGGGTGGTGAGTGACAGCCTGCAGGGGGCAGTGATGAGCTCACAGGGATTGAGAGTGGACCACAAGTACCTGGAACGGGGGTCCCCGGCTATCAGGTTGCCAAACTCCCCCAGGATATACCCCCCCACCTTCACCATGTTCTCGTGACATGCTGGTGCTTGAAGGGCCTGGGGGGAGGGAGAGAGAGAGAGGAATGACAGACGCACCAGACAATTAAGGACACGGTCGAGGATGCGTTTCCCCAGGGAGATTCCCCCCCCCCCAGCGTACCTCGAAGACCGTCTTGGCGGCATAGCCCTGTACGTCGTCGCGGTTGATGACGATCTGGATGACCCTGTACCACACCTCCTCGCTGACGTAGTCCCCGGCAATGCGGATCAGGTTCAGGATGGTGTCCACGTACCAGGAGTAGTCCACGGCATACTTCTCTGCCAGGATGGCCACCTTGAGCACCTGGGGAGGGCAGACGGTCAGTCAGCATGGGGGGGTGGTGGGGGGTGGGGGTTGGCTTTGGGCAAAGCGCAAACGAAGATGCACCATCTCCTCTCGGATGGAGTAGTCCGCCGTCTCCAGGTAGCTCAGCATCTCGGCCACAATTTGTTTGGCGTTGCTGCGGTCGCACATGGCATAGAGTAGGTCTGCAGCCCTCTGCCGCACGCTGACATCCCTCTCCGTCTGCGAGACCAGGAAGGGAGCCCAGCCGCATTAGACCTTAGGTACATCTACTGCTGACAGGACACGGCAGATAGGGGGCACGCACCTTCAAGGCATTGATGACGGTCTCGATGTGCGTTTTGACGGCCTCGTGGGAGAACTCGGAGCTGGCCAGCGTGCACATGCTCTCCAGGGCCAGGTAGCGCAGGTTGGTCTCACGGTGCTGCAGAAACTGGCCCAGCTGGTTACACGCCCGCACCAACAGAGTGGGCTCACTACGGGGCAGTATGAGGAGGATTTACTGTGAGTGAGGCGGGGGGGGGGAGAGGGGGGGGGTGTGTGGGGGGGGGGGGGGGGGGGGGGGGGGTTGGCCCTCGGCGCGGCACGCCCTGCTAGACCCTCACCTGTCGTAATGTATGATCAGGCTGATGGCCTCAAACAGGATTGCATTCTTGGCATTCGAGTGCTGCACCTTCTTGGACTTGGGCGGCTCTTGAGCCTTATTCAGGATGGTCTCCAAGCACTCAACCAGACGGCCTTTCACTGCGCCATCCTCTGGCGGAGGATAGCACTGCAACAGCCGGAGCAGTTTGCAGGACAGCCAGGGAGCCGGGACGAAGTAGTAGGTATAGTCCTGGAGGTCCGTGGAGGCTGAGGAAACAATCTGCGATCGGGGATGAAAGAGATGGCTCATGGGCACCCGCTCAGTTCATCGTCCCAGACAGAGGAAGAGAACAAGGGGCGCAAGCTCACCCTGCTGAGGCGGGACACCGCCAGCGGCACGCAGCTCTTAAACTCGTCTGGGTTCTTCTGGCTCAGGCAGGTAATGAGGGAGATTGCTGCTGTAACCACTCCCTGGGAGTCAGGGGGCATGTCAAAAATGTCACCCATCAAGCCTACTAGACAAAGCCAGTGCAGAGCGCTAGCGGCACAGCAGCGGTCAGCGTGATCTCACCATGTGCTGGTCGTTGAGCAGGTGCACCACCCGAGACGTCCACTCGCCCATCAGCACCACATCCGGGGACGCCTTGTGTAGGCGGAGCAGGCAGAGCGCGGCAGACTGCTTCACGCTGTCCATGGTGTCCCTGTAAACCATCGACAGCACCCCCTCATCAAGGAGTCTCCACTGTGTCCATCTAGAGCCGACCCCTGAAGCGAGCAGCACCCCGGTGACTCACCCAGCCACCAGGATGCGGGGTATCTCCCCAGCGAAGGCCTCCGCCATCTCCCTGCTGCCCACGTTGGCGATGCAGTGAAGTGCCAGGCACATGAAAGTGGGGTTCCTGCTGGCCAGGTCATTCTTGATGCCGTTGTTAATGAGACGGATGAGCTCACTGTTGCTGTTCACCAGCACAGAGATAAACAGGTAGCCCTAGGAGAAAAGGAGAGAGAAGAGGTTATTCCAGTGGCAGCACATCATCGTCACCGGGACACTGGCCTGTTCACTGGCACTCACGATCTGCTTCTCTGTGTACTTGTTGGAGCTGAGCAGGTTGACGGCCTCCATGTGGCCAAAATCAATGTCGTGGCCCAGAAGGAAGATGAAGAGCAGCTTGCATACATACTTCTTCTTGCTGTAGCCATCCAGTGCCTTGTCTCCTTTGAACTTGGAGCGAATGTTGGCCAGCTCCTTGTTAATGCGCTTTATCTCTGCCTCTTTGCTCTTACCTGGAGGGGAAGCACAGAATTAGTGACAGCAAAAAGCCACAAGGTACCTCGGCGAGGCTTAAATGAAGCAAAGCAGCGGAAGCAGAAAATGCAGTGGAGGAAAAATAAGGGAAAGGAGAAGATTTTTTCACATTTTTGCTCCCACCCAACTACAAAAAAAAAATCAGTCCACATTTTTGCTCCCTACAGAGAGCTGAGAAAGAGCAAAAACGGGGACTGTCAGGGGGTCCCAAAGGACTGTTTTGGGAAACACTACATTAGAGAGGGAAGATGGTCAGATTATAGGACAGGCAGGTCACAGTGGGAGTAAGGAAGAAGGGATCAAACAGGAGCAGTTAGGAAGACGGGCATGAGGTGCAGGCAAGGGAGGGAGGAGAGGTGGAGTGACAGAGAAGAAAGGGGCCTCACAGAGGGGTGTGGCTGTGGGTATGGGGGCCAAATGAGGGGCCTGCAGATTGAGATTAGAGTGTCAAGACAAAAAGCAGCACAAGAGCAAGACCAGCCAGGCAAAGGAAGACATTACAAGAATAAAAGGTAAAGAAACTATATGCAGCAACTAATAAGATTACGGCATCTTCTAAATGGTCCCTATCTCAAGGAGATAGGGATATTGTGGGGAAATGACAGTCTGATCTTTAAAGAGCTCACTTGAAATGCTGTGCCATAAGCCCAGAGACATACATCATCTATGCCAACACTTGTGTGGCTAAGCTCTCCACCACCAGGAGAGAGCCAAAGGCAGCCATGTAATAGCTGCCATAACTCCGCATCTTACAAATATAATCAAGCATGAAAATTCAGTAGGTACTTTCATGTTCATCCATCCATCAACTGCCTGAGAACTCAGCCTGCCCCATGTACCCTGTTCTTCCCGACTAAGCTGTATAATGACCAAGGGTGACTAGCATACTCTTGTAAACTACTGTCACCAATCTCCTGTTTCTGGAGACCGGGGATCCAAAACTCAGAAAAGGGGGAAACCAGATCCCAAAAATTACATCCCAAACCATAAACATGAACCAACATGTAGTAGCTAAAGTAAGTCAGCAATGTAATCATGATTAAAGGCTTAAGATGCCATTTACTCTAGCGGCCTATCTTAAGTAGTGTACAGTGCCAGCTCCCGGGAATAATCAGGACACATTTACGGAAGCGATATTGGTGTCATGTGCATTTCCATATAAAGAATATAAACTGGCCAACTACATACATAAGGCTCCCATTCCTCTGACTGATGTGTCCGCCCTTATTTCAGTAATCGCAGCCCTGTCCGCATAATGGACACAAGCAGCAGCGATCAGTAAGACTCAGGCTTTAGCCTCGACCAGCGGGAGCATCCAGCTCGGTTAACGGGAGCCTTTCCCAAATCAGGGCCCCGGGGAGAGCGGAGTCTGCCGCCTACCACACGGCGTGACACTCACAGTTCCTGATGTCCGAAATGAACACCGCTAATCCACGCATCCCGTCCCCCTTCGACACCGCCGGCATCTTCTCGTCCGCTGAATATGCTCTACCGAAGCAGCCGGCGAGGTTACTCGATGACCAGGATCACCCAACGTTAACGGCGACGCTTTAACCAGTCGTAACCGGGTGGTGAAGGGCTTGAAGCGGCGGTGGGTCGGAGGTTGTCTGTTATTCATTCAGAGCCTCCCTCAGCTCTGTCACCGTGCGCCGATGCTCACAGACCGTCCAGCCGCCCCGACTCCCCCCCCCTATGGGGTACTATGTGTCGTAAAGCGTCGGTAAAGCGGTAACCCTGCGACCAGGATAAGGCGCACAGCGACTAGTCGGCTCTGCCGCTAGCCTGTGGCTCTCTTGGGTCACAGATAGCTAGGCTAGCGGTTTTAAATGCTAGAATGCATCAGCCGCTTCTTCGTAAGGCTCCTGGAGCGAGCGGCCGCAAGGACGCTCTGCCGGCTAGCTACCTCTTTTCACTGAGGGCGTTTAACGGCCCACCGGCTGGCAATTATACTACACCCGACTGAGCTCGTGACCAGAACGTGAGCCAGGACGCCGCTTCCCGTCAGATTCGAGCTGTGGAAAGCTGGGCTCCGCCCCGCCCTCTATTGCCTGCCGCAAGCTTATTGGTGTACGGTATCTGTTCCCGTCGCACTTTCCCGCTATTCTTTAACGGTATTTGTTTATCTCTACATCGCTCAAATTCTATACAGGTTTCTATTGGATCCCGAGAGTTTAGGAAAATTATAGTATTTTGAGCAACATGTAACGTTGACATATCTACACAACCTTCTCTGATGACTAAGAACGAGAACCATTTCACTGAATTTTGTTTATACACAAGCTATTCATTTTGTTTGTAGCTCACGCAGCAACAAATTATGCACGATGGTTTTGGATAAACAAAAACCCCTTACATTAAAACAACCATATGGTTTCTGCTATTTAAAAATGCATTGGTTATGAAACGCATATGAAACTCATTTTATTTTATATTTATATACAGACATACAGGAGTTATATACTAATAAGGGATGCACATTTAAGAGGATAATTAGATAACAAAAATATAAAAGCAGTATTGTAATGTTACAATAATATATAATTTATATTTGAAATGGTCGGTTCAAATAAAAGCAACAGGGAATATAATTAACTATTGCAAGCAGTACAAACGACTATATGGTTCAAATTGGTAATACGGTGCAAAATGTAAGCACATACATTCCTGCAATATATAGGGTGGGGTAAAAGATAGGACTAGTGGGTTAGAAATTAGAGATATTGGGCTTGTATCGTCCCAGCTGGCGGTGTCGCAGGTGTTGCATGACTGATGGTCGTGGGTACAAAGGAGCGTCTCAAGCGGTCGCTTTTACATTTTGGGGAGATAAGGAGATAAGCCTACGGCTCAACGTGCATTTCCTCTATTGAGTTCCACGTTGAGGGTATGCACATATTTTTTTCCATAAATGCTGGTTGTTTAATATTTTTTATTTTTTAAATAATGCGCTGATATTTCTTGCAAGATTTCCAATGTATGGACCCTAAAGTGGCTAATAAATTTATCCACGATCCCTCACAGAGGCTGGCGGCGCGAAGGGGGCGGGTGCCGCTGCCAATCAAGTGGGCGCCACCAGGAGGCGCGCGCAGCAGCACCGCGCGAGGCCGTTCTGGAGGAGGAGACGCGCAGAACTGAAATGGCGGAGACAGCAGACAGAATGGAGGTGAGAGAAGCGGAGACCCACGGTCACCTCTGCAAGGGTTCAGCGACCTCACGAAACACATTTCTGAACCGGGATGTCTTTTAAATTGAAAACCAAGCCAGGATTTTTCCGTAAAATGTTAACTGTTTTCGCTTGTAGGATGGGCGCTGGAACTGACGAAGACAGCATCAGTAGTCAGCTAGTTTGGCGTAGTGCGTTAACCGGCTTACCAGCGGTTCTTATTTAAATCGGTGACTGGTAACTCCGTATTAGACCGTGGCCCTGCTTCGTACGCCTGGCGCGTTAGCCGTTAGCCCTCCCGGCCGGAGCTCCTTTGACGCGGTTTTACCAGTGTATCCAGCCTGAACTCGCCGCTCCAGACTCATTAACAGGCTCTTATTAACGAGCCCTGGTGCGTGTCGCTATGTCGGGACTATTTGCGAGCATGCTAACAATAACTGCGGCCACTGTGCCCTCCCTTTACTGGTTACCTGCCCAGAAGGCTACATTAGTGGGGAAATGAGAGCCGCTAACCGGCTTAAAGTCTGTGGCTGGTGGTTGTCTGATGCCGGTGCGTCCCCCCAGATACCACCAGCTCTGCATGTGGGACCCAATTTCCCCGTGAAAGCTGCTGGTTTTAAGACTAGATACAAAGCATCTCTTGGTCCACAGGGCGTTATTAGTTACACAGTTTTGCGATTTAACAGTTTTTTTTTTAAGGAATTGTATGGTTTGACTAGACTCCTCAGCAGCCGGGGGTTAATTGACGGTAGTGAAGCGGGTCTTCACTGTCTGCCTCTTCCTTTATGAGGTTTCTTCCCAGGGAGAGACCTCTACAAAGACTGCAGCTGAGGACATGACCTCAAAGGATTATTACTTCGACTCCTATGCCCACTTTGGCATCCATGAGGTACTGACCACACTGAAAAAACATGTGACAGTCTACTACATGTCCGCTATGTCTGCATGTATGTTTTTGTGCCATCCTGCTCCGTTCAGGGACATCCCTTTGAGTGTTGCCATTTTTCTCAGGATTGTTGCTTTTATACCCTGTAAATGTAGGCAAAGCTGCTCTGCTATGCAGTGCTGACACTTGCTGTCTCCCTGTTGACTCCAGGAGATGCTGAAAGATGAAGTCCGCACCCTCACCTACCGCAACTCCATGTTCCACAACAAGCACCTCTTCAAAGATAAAGTGGTTCTGGATGTGGGCAGTGGGACGGCCATCCTCTGCATGTTTGCGGCTAAGGCTGGAGCCAAGAAGGTTATTGGGGTGAGAGTCCTCCCTCACTGACCTTAATCAGCTCCCGCTGTTTAGCTATGCTTGCTAATATGCCTTTAGCGCTGGGATCTGGATTTAATTGAATCCTCCACACCTCCCCCACAGATTGAGTGCAGCAGTATATCTGATTATGCTGTGAAGATTGTCAAGGCCAACAAACTGGATCACAGTAAGTATTTGGGGTTTTTCTGAGTTTGGCCCAAAGAATGAAGGGGTTCCCTGAAACTGAAAAAAACCTTTTGCATAATTGAGAGACCTGGTTTTGTCTGAAAGCTTAATGTTGAGGCTGAACAAACTTACCCCTGATGGTTTTGATACATAGTGCTTCTCAAGGTTTTAAAGGTCTTCCTCTGAGTGGCTGGAAGCACTCATACCACAGCACATGTCAGGACTTCTGATCCACAGACATCACATCACTACTGTTCTATGTCTGTTCTGAAAAATCACTTTGGACCCCGTCAGTGATTTGACCCTGCATGCTCTGTCTAGCTGTGACCATCATCAAGGGGAAGGTGGAGGAGGTGGAGCTACCCGTGGAAAAGGTGGACATTATCATCTCTGAGTGGATGGGCTACTGCCTTTTCTACGAGTCCATGTTGAACACCGTCATCTATGCTCGAGACAAATGGCTGGTGAGTGATCTCTCTGCTTCAGCTCTCAGGATGAGTTTTGGTTCGGCTCTTTCCGGCACTTTTGGCTGTTTGGTGCGTGGCCTGATCTTCAAATAACTGACTGATTTCACTCTCAAGTAATGGTGTGACGGTTCTGAACGCCATGACCGAAACTGCAATACAAATGCTCCCGATCTCCAGAAGACAGAACCGCGATATGTTGAGCTCTCAAAACTTTACTAATGTCACAAAACGCATTTTTCACTTGACAATTAACATTAGTGATTTACAAGTGTTACAGTAATGTTCTAAGTTGTTGGTGATTAATACAGTAAGACCGCCCCAGAACTCAACCATTAACTGTTTAACTCCTTTTTCTCCCTCAGAAACCAGATGGGCTTATATTTCCTGATCGAGCCACTTTGTATATTACAGCCATTGAGGACAGGCAGTACAAGATCCACTGTGAGTGTTTGGTAGCCTGGCTTACATTGTTTCTGACCTGTGGGTCAGCTTATACCTAGTTCACACTACAGAGATGCACCGATCCGATATTCAGATTGGTATCGGCACCGATTCGGCCATATGTGACCGATACATGTCCGATAACTACTTTTTTCATTTTCAGCACTCTGGTAAAAAGAGAGCCCCAATTTCTTTTTAAATAGATTTTTTTTTCCTCAATCATTTGCGCAACAGCTCTTTCCCATTTTAGGTATGTTTTTTTTTGTGGCATTCAAGCTTAACGCTAACGATGCCACTCGGGTGTGGATGCAGTGACTTCTGCCTTCTGTGACGTCACTCGCATATGTTTTGCAGTACGAGGAACGCAGCAGTAAGAACATCAGATATGAGGGTGACATTCTGACAGCATTTTACCCTATTAACAACAACAGTGCTTTGCAATCTTGGTAAAACGAGTAGTATGAAAAAAGCAATGGATGATTTGGGAGTTGCTAACTTGGCCTGTTTTACGCACTCGCTACAGCTTGAGATACACGAGGGGCTGCGATCGCAGTACATTCACATGTAGCTCGACTTTGCCATTTAATCGGACTACTGTCCTTGTCCCAGTATGTATGCATGGGAGGGGGGTCGATTTATTGACCGAAATATGTTTGATTCTGCTACAATAGCTGGTAATATGGCTCCTTTCAACTTGTTAGTATTGGGCTTTTTCCACTTATTACATCACAGACTACAAAAAAATAAATAATAAAATTAACAATGATAGTTGTGTGGACAAATGACGTGACACAAGCTTTAATTGCAATCTGGTCAGAAGAACAGATACGGCAAGATCAGAATAGCATAACAATACAGTAGAACCCCGGAGGTCGTCAGCTTCTGCAACTCGTCATATTCGGTCTTCGTCGCGGAATGACGAGAAAATTTTGAGTCGGAGTTCGTCTGAAAATTTTGTCCGAAAAACTGTGTGATTTCCTTTGTAAACAAATGTTTACGCTCAGTTGGCGTCAGTCTTGCACGTCGTTCACACGTTGTTCTGTGTGTTGTGATCGCATTTTATATTTTTTTTGTGGCTTTTATAAGTTTTTTTTTTTTTTTTGCTAATAAACATGGGTCCAAAGAAAGCCAGTACTGTACAGTAATTGTTAAAAACTAATTTTATTAACTTTAAATGTTGTGTTTCTTTCTTAAGTTCCTAGTTAATTTAATTGTAATATCAGTGTAATGTTTTTGTATAAAAAGGCAAGGTTAGGGGGGGTCGAAAATGGATTAATCTGTTTTCTGTTATTTCTTATGGGGAAAAAAAGATTTGGTGTTCGTCCGATTAACATATGGTTACTCCTTCTGGAACGAATTACAGACAAACTCCGGGGTTCTACTGTGTACAATTTTGTATAATATACTATGATAGCACAGTATTGGAAAGTTTTCAAATATTGCAATGTGATTTTGTTGTAATAAATATTGGGGTATTTATGAAATAAAAAAGGAGTTCAACATAAATGTCTCA